CTATTACATCAACATATTGAAACTCAGGTAAATTATTTTAGAATTCGGTATGTAAACGCAATTGATCTGGTGATAAACTGAATAAATGACAAAATCAATTATGTATGTTTGTGGTATGATCAATTATGTATCTATAGATATATCACATTTGTTTTTCCATATGTATTTCCCTTCACCTTAAATTTTAACAGAATCATCAACTTCAAATAATGTCATCTTGTTTTTGTTTCCATGGTGTATGAATACATGACCTAATTTGAGTAGTTATTAACCTGTAAAACGTGTTTATAATGATTTTATGAACCTGTGAGAACAGTTCTGTTGTGTGATAAGTCTCTGATAAGGGGCCTGATATAGGAATTAACATAGTTATCACCTGATTGATTATTATATAAGTTTGTATCTATTACAGGCGTTGTATGATAAACCAGCGTCAGTCTCTATAGATAATTTATTTAAACAACTCAGTTTAAAAGAGGAAGATGTGTCACGTTGGGAGCCGATACGACGAGCGGCAGACGGAATAATACAGGAGAAAAATATGATCATTGAAAAGTAGGTTTTATTCTGTCTTCAAAGTCTTACATCTTCTCTGCATAATAATAATAATAATAATAACTTTATTAGAAACTCAGTTGTACAAGACAATCTTCCCTAGGATCTTTCTACATCTACAATAACATATTTACAAAATGATAAGGTAATAAAAATAGAAAATAGAAATAAAATAGAAAATGAATGATGAAAATTAAGGGTCACATTCAGGTGATTGAAATATATGTAAAAAGGAAATGAAATAAAAGTAATTTTTACAACATTAAAGATAATAGGAAATTTTAAAATAATTCTAGTCACTCTTATTATCATAGTTCCCTTTTCAGTCCTGTTTTAAAACATTCTACACTGTTAGATTGTTTATATACAGGAGTTAAACGCTTTGAGATTTTCAGACAACTGACCTATATTCAGCCTGCGTCCCTACTGAAGTTACTTAGAGTTAAACGATATGTGATTTTCAGACAACTGACCTATATTCAGCCTGTGTCCCTACTGAAGTTACCTAGAGTTAAACGCTTTGTGATTTTAAGACAACTGACCTATATTCAGCCTGCGTCCCTACTGAAGTTACCTAGAGTTAAACGTTTTGTGATCTTCAGACAACTGACCTATATTCAGTCTGTGTACCTGTGTAATATTGACTATTTATGTTTAGATTAAAGAATCGTATTCTACAGTTAGAAGAAGACTGTAGTTTAAATGAGACAAGATTAAAACATGCTCTAATTAATCAAGATGATACAGGTGATACATTACATCATAAAATACAGGTAATATCTTTATTCTTATATCTTATAATAAAACTAAGTACTAAGAATATATTATAAGTTGTATTATTCTCTACACACGTCGAATTGAAGGCTCAAAATTTGACAGTGAGCTGTGAACACTTTTACTGATTGGCTTAGCTAATGTCCCTTCAAGTGAGTAAGTATTTCATAATGAAAAGTGGTATCAGGTGTCTAGAAGAGTAAGCTTACCCTGCCTTGCACAACACCACCAATGTTGCTCAATATTTCACACAGTATTATCCTTTATTTAGCTTATACATCATATATATATTTGAGAGTAGGGCTTTAATTTCTATCTACTGTATAAATTTCTTGTTATAAATTTTTCTTGTTTTAGACTCGTTATTCCCTGTAATATAAACATTCTTTCTATCCCATAATAATAATAAATATTAATTACAGGAATTACAGTATAAATACGCAACGTTAAAAACAGAATTAATAGATACCAGATCTCAGAAAAATATAGAAATAGACGAACTTGAAGTTAAACTAGGGTAGGTTTATTATTGATTTTATATTTTATATTTACTCTGTTGTCATAGTGAATTCTTCAGGTCTCTTGACATCATAGTGATCATCATTTACCTACGGAAAGGCGATCATAACTTTCAAACTTGACTCTCATATAACTGAGTGTGTGAGCTATGTTCAGAAATCATGACCACTTTTATTATTTACAACCATAAACAACTAATTGGTAATCACTATGGTGTAAGGACACATTTATGTTGAAATGTCTTATTATAATAATTTGTTGTTGGTTGAAATGTGGTATTTTATATTGAGAAATAGAAAATTATGGCCAGTAAAAAGATGATCTGATCTTTTAGAAACGGAAGGGTGGAAATCAGTCTCTGTAAAAGTGTTGTCACTTTGTCACCTGTGTCACTTACAAAACATCACTCAGTAGTCTCCAGTCTCTTTAATAAGACAAGTTTTGGTGTCATATTTTATCATCGGTGGTGCTCGTCTAGAAATGAAATGAATGGAGTTTTACGTCCTACTTTTCTGCACAAGGTGCTCGTTTACGTCTGTTCCAATTCTGACCTCAATAGAACGGTACAGAAGTGGAATATGTCATATACCTTTCTCCGTCAATTTGAATGTTGAGTTCCAACTTATTTTATTGAATGTTCGGTTTATTCAGCGAATCTAGAGTGTGCAGGAAACTAAAGGGAAGTAACTAAGGTTTTATTTAAGTTAATTTTTATTTTGTTTTCCAGTGCAACTGAGTATGAATTAGATCAGTTGAAGAAAACAATGAAAAATAAAGAAACAAATTCTTCAGATTTACAGTTTCAGGTATTTTAATGTTGTATTTTCAATGTTATTTTATTTAGAGAGATTGTAAAAAGGTTTTCTAAATATTCTATGTGTATCAGGGAGAATGGTAACTTCAATTTGCTATAGTAATAGCATTACAAATTTCATTCAGACGTCTGTGATTCCTGCATTTCCACTAAAACAAAGTGTTTGTTGACATCACTAATTGAAAAATATGTTTTATCATATAAACCCCTTCATTATAGTGATGCCATCAAACATTTTTAGAAGATTTGAAAACCTCCTAACAATCCAAATAAAAAATAGAGATTCCCAAATTTTGATTTTGACTCTTATCCATACCTTAGCCAGTGCCTTCTGTTACCTGTTCAACCACCCTAATCTAATCCCTTATTTTGTTGACAACTCTTTTGATTGGCAGTATTCTCTAACATAACATCTAATCACATCGCTGAATTAACAAACTTCTGTGATGCATCAAAAGTACCTTATGATGTCAAGGTATAAGACACAGCTTGTTATAGCTTGACATTGTGAAGATGTTGTAAATTGATTGTTGGACACTTCTGGCAAGATTTACCTAATTGCACACTGCATGCCATTGCCTGTATTTTGCTTGTAATATCAATGTTTTCTAGTTAAAAGATGGGGCAATAAACTGAGGCTGTAACTGTTCGACCGTTCTGGCTAAATTTACCTAATTGCACACTGCATGCCAGTGACTGTATATATTAGTGCTGGCAGGATATATCGGTGAATTGTTGTATCGCGATACGACATGCCACTATATGCGTATCGTATCCTGACCCGTGTATCGTGAGCCTTGTATCGCGATACGTATCATATCAGGGCATGATTTAAGATACCCAGCTGTACTATATTCCTGGCTTGTTTTTTATTTAAAGTCTCTGTTTTCCAGTTGAAAGAAAAAGATGGTGAAGTACGGGAATGGCAGACAAAGTTTACGGAGATGAAAGATAGTTCGTTAGAATTAAAACGTAAATTAGACAGTCTAGAACAATATCTGGGTGATTTACCTACATCAGAAGAAACAAGTAAAACAGCTAAAGAAATATCCTTTACAATTCAATAAGATTACTTTTTTTTTTCTTTTTTTTTAAACTAATGTCAGTTATTTTTTCTAATACAAAAATCAGACATTCTGTCTTCTGGTTTGTAACCCATGCTAGTTGAATCCTTGTGGATCAAGTATCAGCTGGTAAACATGATCCTTGCGATTTTGTATTGAAGACACTGATCAATTTTCACCATTTCAATTTTCAAACGTCTGTGCAATTCCTCTAAAACTAAGTTTAATATTACTAATCACGAATATGTAGACATATTTTGTGATTAGTGATGTCAGGAACCACAGACGTCTGTCTGACAATAACTTACAATCCCTTAAGTTTCGATATATTCACTGTTGAATTTTCCTCATTGCACACCAACTAATATGCCAATTTAAGTTCATTTGCATATCAACTGTTAATAAATATTGACCTTAACTATATCTTACTCAGAACAACTGAAAGAAGAGATGACTCTCAAGGAAACTAAGATTCACGAACTAGAACGAAAATTAAAACATGCACGAAAGGTTTTAACTCAGAGAGAGTTTCAGCAACGGGAGATGTCAGAGAAAGAACACCACCTACTGGAGAAATTGAAAAGTCTGTCTGAAGAAAACGATAGATTAAAACTTGATGATACGACAGCTGCGTTGTTTAAATCACAAGAAGAATTACGTGACGTTCGTGAAGAGAAAGAAAGATATGCTATTGATTTAGAGAAAGCTAAAAAGGTAAAGTTGATATATCTTGTTACAGTTTCTTGTGTGTATATTGTTGATTCTAGATAAGTATTCTTGCAAATTTTACAATTTCTTGGTTTTCATTTCAATGATATTTTATCCTTTCAGTTATTAGAAGATACTCATCGTAAACTTCGTCACCAGGAGGTCAAATATCAGACGGAATTACGTCAGTTTACAGAACGGGTCGGGCAGGAAGAGGAGGCAGTGGAGATACTACGTCAAGATCTCACTAAGAAAGATGAACTAATCTTTAAAATAAAGAAATCCATGAAACAGGTTGGTGAGGGTGCCTTTCTAGATATCTGTCGTCTGGATATCTGGATATCTGTCGTCTGAATGTCTGATATCTGGATATCTGTTGTCTGAATGTCTGATATCTGGATATCTGTTGTCTGAATGTCTGATATCTGGATATCTGTTGTCTGAATGTCTGATATCTGGATATCTGTTGTCTGAATGTCTGATATCTGGATATCTGTTGTCTGAATGTCTGATATCTGGATATCTGTTGTCTGAATGTCTGATATCTGGATATCTGTTGTCTGAATGTCTGATATCTGGATATCTGTTGTCTGAATGTCTGATATCTGGATATCTGTTGTCTGAATGTCTGATATCTGGATATCTGTTGTCTGAATGTCTGATATCTGGATATCTGTTGTCTGAATTTCTGATATCTGGATATCTGTTGTCTGAATGTCTGATATCTGGATATCTGTTGTCTGAATATCTGATATCTGGATATCTGTTGTCTGAATGTCTGATATCTGGATATCTGTTGTCTGAATGTCTGATATCTGGATATCTGTTGTCTGAATATCTGATATCTGGATATCTGGTGTCTGAATTTCTGATATCTGGATATCTGTTGTCTGAATATCTGATATCTGGATATCTGTTGTCTGAATGTCTGATATCTGGATATCTGTTGTCTGAATATCTGATATCTGGATATATCTGAAGCACCTAGAGAAGGAAAATATAATTGCATACTTAATTTCCCTCAAAAGTTTGAATTTGACAAAAGAAATTTAGCTAATGTTATTGTTCAGGCAAAAACACCTAATGATATGGTTTCAATCATTAACCTCATCAGTAGCAGAACAATATATGTTAAACTTCACATCATTAGTAAAATATTATAGAAAAATTTTATCATTTCAT